TGTATCGGTTAGGATATTTACAGTAGTATCCCGGGATATACTTCAGTCTTAGCTGTTTTACTTCATCATTATTACACAAAAATAAAAAATGAAACTCATCTCCTATACCATTATTACACATGGGACATACTCGATCAAGATGTTGTATCCCTCTCCATCTACCTAATTCTACCGGTAATTTAACATTTGCTGTTCTGAATTTACAGATAAATTCTGCATCTTTTTTATTCAACCGTAATAAATAGTCTTCAATACCAAATTCATTTTTGACGATGGCGAAATCTGTTTTTAATGGCGTTACATTTAAAATTGACACCTTTTACATCTGATATAAAACAGAACTCAAAATTTTATGATTAACTTTGACATCTATTTAATCTGAATGAATTAATCACTTTACCCGTACATCATTGATCAGGATATATAAATGGATTATTTAATCGTAAAATAACATAGAGTTATCTTTCTTGTTTGTTTTAGTGTATATCAGTGGTAAACGAATTGGAAAAATGAAAATTTCACAAGCATAGATCAATTTAAGAGACCCTTACCTAATTCCGGTGACTTGAAATTTAAACAAATCGGGTGGCAATTTTATTTCAGGTTCTTTACTGTTGATTCTGCGGACATAATTTCTGCGAATTTATTTCAAATTATTTGACATTTGACGGGATTTTAAAAGCTTATGTCTCGAGTACACCTCTTCACAAAGCCAATAACACTACAGTCTTCCTGACGTGTCCTACGTTGACAGAGACATTCTGTGTTATTTCCACATATTTATTTTTGAATTCACTTTCGTTTCTACAGATACTCTCAATATAATTTAAAGCGACCGTTTTAGCTGTCCACACAGAGAAATTTGAAGAAATTGTTTCTCACATATAATTATAATACTAATTTCTTCTTGCATCAAATAACGGAACTCTTCTTCTAAACAGGTAATTTTTTCCCATTTATGTACACACAGATCAATTAATTGATTGATTGGTTGCATAAATTTTAAACAACTCCTCTCCGAAAAATTAAAAAAAAAACAATAAATAGATATTATGAATAAATAAAACTAAAAGTTCGTTTGCAGCTATTTGTACGAGGTACCGTGGGTTACGTTCCCATAGCGTTTATCGAGTCGTAGGTGTAAACAAATAAGACCTATTAAGTAACACATTACACTGAGGAAGTGAAGAACAATGGTATAAATTTATTATCCACAGTATATCTTGCTGTGTGAATGTCCTGGATATCACTGTATTTGATCTGCCATATATTCTGAAAAAGAACTTAAAGTTTCTCAAATTTGTATTGAGCGACATCAATATCAACGTACTCTATAAAACGAGGACAAACTCAGTATTTAGGAAATGTTCACACGGATACGACTTAAACAAGGAGAAAAATATCCAATATTCCAGGACAATATACTTCTTGAAAAGATATTAAATAACTTTAATGTTTAACGGAATCTGTGGGAAAAAAAACACACAAAAAGCAACAAAATATGAATTGGAATATTGGATGTCTTACTTGTTTTCTCTCTGTTTCATAGGAGTTACTTCCCTTTAATCGTGGAATGTCTTCAAATCTATAGCATGTTGATAATTCGAGCTCCTATTAGGTTACGTTCTCCTATATAGTTTAGTAAGTAAAAATTTCGTATGTGTAATGTACTGATCTATGTCAGGTTTGTACAGATTATCCATCGATATAACATCAGATACCAACTCATTATATTTTACCAAACTTTCATAAAATTTACGAACTTTAACTGTCAAGAATGTATTATTTAAATTGCGATGTTACTTCCATCGAGATCTAAAAATCTAACATTACGGTGAATGTTACATGAATTCTCCGGGTTTCATAAATGATATATCTGATACAAATATTTATTGTATTTGATAAGAGATCATAAAAGCGTCACATATCACACTACGAGGTAATTAAACATTAATTAAATTTTAAACCATATAAGTGTTGTCCTCCCAATGTCTGCTGACGATCATGTGAAGTATGAACTTAAAAAGGAAAATGAAATGATTAAAATAATACTGTATGTAATTATGATAAATAAGTACGAGAGTGCGTAAGAGCTAACTCAAACCGATTTCATTCCCGACATTTGCAATTACCATGTTTTTAAATGTATTTAAACATCTAGTACTTATTTATATACACCTGATAGACGTTACATTTTCACTCTCCTGTAAGAGTCAGCAAAATCTAGGGCAAAGTCGTAATCCGCCACACAAAGGAAGAAGAACAAATGAATTAGTGTCAGTTGTGAAAGCTTGTGACATTTGTAAGTGATATGAAGAAATACCTTGAGGAGTGTGTTCGATGCGAAAACCAGAACAAAATTACAGCATTGTGAGGACTTTAGAATGAAAGTTTATTTATTTTTTTATAATTTTTTATTTTTTGAAGATTTTCAACAATACATGAAACATAACACATCAAACATTCCACTCACACATGGCCATTTTCACTTATTATATTATATCATATCACATTACATTACATTACATTACATTACATCACATTATATATTATATTAAATTATATTATATTATGTATATTATATTATATTATATTATATTATTTATATTATATTATATTATATTATATTATATTATATTATATTATATTATATTGTGTAAAAAAAAAAAAAAACACACACACACGAGTCAATAGCATCTGTCAATACAAATTTAGACTGAATAAAATACGGCCTAAATTAATTAATTAAGCTACATCATGTAGCTGGTTCGTCCTTCTAGGAGTCGCCAGTGATGTTAGAGATCCTAAATTGTTGAAACCTCGGAGGCGACTTCCGGAGGATCAAAAACTGGTTGAAATAAATAACATAAACAAGACGGGGAAATGAGGTAACACAAAAAATTTCATGATTTTCAGTATTGAGCGATTTCAAAAGATTGAGAATCAAATGTGTCTTTTCTGAAACCTGTCACTATTTGAATGAATAGAGATAATTCCTACACTATTATATATCTATTTGATGCGTTTGGCGTATACCGTTATAGTATTCAGTCTTTCAGCAGACAAGATCCAATTTTCCTATTTTTCACACACAAATTTGTATGAGATCAGAGACGTATGCTATGTGATATATACGTCTCTGATGAGATTAATGAACGGAACATTATATGTACTTTAATGACAGAAACCCCTGGTTTAGATAAAGATGAATAAGAAACTGAGAAATTTCTTTTGGACCGACTATTCAATTCTCGAGGCCCGAGATTTCACGCGGTTTGAAAAGTTCCATGAAAAAAAAATCGCTTCATCAACTCATGATCACGGACGTACTGTGGTTCATCTTCTTATTCAATGGCTGAATACGCATCGATGTCTAAGCCCTTGTAGAAACACATTTTTGCTGTAATTATTACATCCTTATTTGGATTTAAATAAAAACAGAATCTCGATAAAAACAAATCTGTATGACAGTTTCTCTCGGTCGTTGCATTCGAAAAATATTAGAAATAATGTCAGATTTTAATTCACACGTGAATAGCACCTTTTACTAATTAAGGGATAGATACAGTAGAGCCAAACAGTATATCACAAATCCTTACCTCTCATGCAAGGGGTGATTTTCTTTCTGTCATATCTAAACTGTACACGACTTTTCAAGTATGAGGTACTAGAATTTTTCGATTTTCAAATAAATGTAAAAATTATTGCATACGTCAAAAAATCTTCGAATAATGTCGATTTTCACATTTAGTTAAATGCGTTGAAATAACCGATATTAAAACCCAAAGGATATAGCTACACTTCTCCGTCAACTATAAATCTATGAAACGATGTTAATGATAAATCTGTTTATAGAAATATAGATATTGACATTCCAAATTATTGCGACTAAAAAATCACCAACCCTTTTAGCTGAACAATATTGTTGATTTTAAAGCCTTATAAAAATGTATTGATTTAAATCAAAGGACAAGTTTATAAACCATACACATGGAAGTAGTAGCATACGTAACCTAAAACCGTGTTCCATAAAGGTTGATATATGCACATGTGAGATGATTTAAGATATTTTTATAAACTTCATCCTCGGTTGATATTTTTCTAGGGTTGATAAAATAATTATCGACCCCGTCAAAAGTCTAAAATTGAATCATACTGAAAATAGATCAATATCTTAGTCCGTAACTGTATGCAATATATATATATATGTGTTAAGAAACTGCCCCTTTACGGAATACAGTATCAAAATAGCAAAATTTTGAATAAATTGTCTGAAATACGATGTTTTTAGATTCCCACGGTCGGCGTTCTGTTTTTTTTTTTTTTTTTTTACAAAATTTAACCTTTTAAATTAAATTTTGAACCATATTAGAAAAAAAATCTTCCCTTTTGTTATTTACTTATTGATATTAAACTTAGGCCTGTGAAAATCGTCCTGTGTACGGGAGAGGGGTGGGTGTATGTAATAGATATACATATCCCTGACATAATCTTTATCTACACACGTGTCACAGGTACAGGTATGTATGTAGGGACAACACTAATCTTTAGACAAACTATACTCGGTTTGGTACACACCCCATCAATCAGGCTGCTATAATAGGGTTTCCCCAGGTAGATCTGGGTGATGATTGAGTATGTCTTACCTGTCTTACCTTTACAGAGGTATCCAGGTGAGCTTTTATTGCAATTTGTGTACAATACCTGTTCCGTGTCACAGACACGCGCCCCAGGTAAGCTGCCCACCTGTCCCGTAGTTGGGATGCGACATCCGTGTGACGTTTATATAACAATTAACGGTAGTTACCTGTCTATCGCCACGTGCTGCACAGTAGGTGATCTAATTGTCTGACCCACGGGGGGTGGGGCGAGTAGAGTATTTGTACCCGTCACGTGACGTGGTACCATATAGGTAGCCGTTTCCTCGTTCTGTCTACACTTTGGTTTTGATATACCATAAGAAAACTCATATTACATTCCATACGATTCCGAAAAAAATCATGCATCCTGAGATCGAACGAGCTTCTACCCCTTTGGTAGCTAGAAAACGTCAGGTAATTAATTTTTATCGTATTCATGGGATATTTCGACCAAGTTAGGATTTCTACGGATGGTGTTTTATGAAAGTTAAATTTATAATTATAAATAGTATTTTTCATAATGAAAATACAAACTCTGAAAACATGAAACGAAAATTTATTTAATTCCATTTCGCATTTTATTTTACCATTTTGGTTATTTTCGGTCTTAAATTAGAAGATGTTTTAGCGTCATTTCTAAAGTTTTCTTTGGTGAAAAAATTAAAACTATCTTAATTGATAGCTATTAGAATAATTTACCCTGCTTTATTTGGGTTGTGCTTTACGATTGTTTTGTCGCGCGATACTTTGAGAAATTTACAGATTTTTCATTCGTAGCAAACAATAGACCTAATTTATTGTAGGAACATTATATTTTCTCTTATAACGTTTACAGTCTCTTATACAATGGACTGACTAACATTGGTTTTTATTACAACATTTCAGTCCAACAAGCCACTGACAGAAAGAAAACGTCGGGAGAAGATCAACAATTTCCTCAGTCAACTTAAAACCCTCATTCTCCAAAAAACAGACAGGCAGGTTAGTCATGTTGTTCTTTTCTTATTTTGTTGATACAAGATTAATAAAACCTTACGAAGTTCCCATTTAGCTAAGTATTATTGTTGAATATATTGAGAGAGAGAGAGAGAGAGAGAGAGAGAGAGAGAGAGAGAGAGAGAGAGAGAGAGAGAGAGAGAGAGAGAGAGAGAGAGAGAGAGAGAGAGAGAGAGAGAGAGAGAGAGAGAAAACATAAATGCGTGTCATTTAATGAAAGTTTTGAAAAACAACGTAAATAAACAGACATCATTCATCAAAAAACTGAATTTTTCATGCCTTGAAGTGCTCAAAATAAATGAATGAGTTCAGAAAACAAATTTTACATTTTTACATCTCAATTTTCACATAATGGCTAGTATTTTATATCTTTCTAAGTTCTATAGTTGAAGAAAAATTGTCTTTTCAATAAATTGCAAAACTGCATTGATTATCTGTGGATATATTTCCCGCTTCTCCAACGTTCTTTGCTTTTCCCAAATATATTAATCTCTTGAATTTAAATGTTATATAGTTTTTTGTTTAATTGAGGCCTATCAAACAATAATATCTATTGCGATTTAATCTTAACGAAAGCCTGCTACATCTGGTAATTTATTATATTCTATATTTTGAATGTTCACATCTGAAAGAAAAATACTTAGAAATGTCTTCATCAAACTGTATTTTAGAATTTAGATCTTTATAAACAAACAAAGAACGTGTAATCTGTTAAGTCAATCGATGTTCTTTTCATGTCGAATTTCTCAAGAAAAATTCGTAATTGGAAACCTAGGGTAATTATTTATCCAATCATATCCATTGGGATCCTATAAAACATAATAAATTAGAAAAGTACATAGACAAACCATATTCTGCTCATCGCTCGTTTTCTTCGCAAAAATTAATTAACCTTGTTTGATGCGTATCTTTATATATTGTAATTTGGTGTGAAATAATTCAACTGACGACTGACGTTTTGATAAATGGATTTCCGTTGGAATATTAAAGACAAAGTTTTCAGGTAGTTTTCGTATTGATAAGATTCTCTCCAAGCATTTCATGAAGAAAAAACATGTGTAGTTGTTGATTGCAATTAAATTTTTCTGGATGTTTTAATTGATTGTTCTATTCTTTTTTTTTTTTTTTTAAATAATGCACCGTTAATAAAATTTCACCGAATTTCGTACCTGATTTCTAAAACATACTGACAGTTCTTTGAAAAATAATTGAATGTTTCTAAGCACAAACATTTACGGTAAAAATTAGAAAAAGCATATATTGAACATAATTTTCATTATGAACTCAAACTGTCCTCATTGATATATTTGTACGGCGATGCATAATATTTATCCAGAATAATTGTGCCTGAGAAATAAGGAGCATATCTTTCCATCTAAAATGATCAATATTGACAAAAAGTATTGTATTAGCTTTGGGTAACCAAAAACGGCCCTTTTTTTTCTTTCTTAATTCTAACTGTTAAATCGCAATGGTAGCGTTTTAATCCATTTATAACTAACGTGACACGTGGCGACACCCGAGTCACCTGAAAGTCCGTGCTGTACCTGGCCAGGTAAACAGACGGGATAATTACCATCATTAATTGGTATAAAATATACCTGTAATACATTTCGACCGGTTAGGTGTGAATGTCAACCACACTACTAGAAACTAAACGCGCGGAGCTTGTAATTACAATACCAGACCCCCTAAGCGCTGCGTCGGTATGTTGTCGATCTGTCAAAATCCGTGTTTACAACCCAATTTTACAAACAGCTTCAGGCACATCAATTTGTCGTTAGTCCAATAAAGAAATCAATTATGCTCAGAAATTAACAGGGATGGTTGCAGATAGTTTCTGCTGTGACACTTTTTGTGTAATTTGTGTCAAGCGGAGAATATTACTCGTTCAAGTACTATTACAACATACTTATATTGAAAGGTATTTAGTATCACAGCAGTTATGTAAAAGATGGATGGGTTTAGATAAATTTCCGGTTATCAATTTCACAGATTTAATATCAAAGACAACCAAATTACTACTTTTAGTCTACAAAACCTTGAAAATATTAATATGCAAACTTCACATTTCTGTTAAAATTTTGAAATGTCTGAATAATTTAAATTGTTTTATTTGTTTCCATAAATGAATAAATATTTTGTAGATAATCAGATTTTAAAACATTGCTTAATGTACAGAAAATTGTGGTACTTTATAACTTTCATACCGTTGATTAAGGATTCAGAATTTGATAACTTATAGAAGAAACATTATAGAAACATTATTTACATACATAATAAGTATTGATAATTTTGAAGTGTTTTTTTTTCTCAAATTTTATAATTTTTAACTTTTGATTTGAAAGATAAGTACAGACTTCTCTCATCATTTTCCCTATATTGACGCGTGACAAATATCACTCTGCAATTTCTCTGATCATGATATTCCGAAAGGTACACTTTATATAAATGTATGTGTGTAATATTATTTGCATATAATTACATATTCTTTGTTTCATTCAAGTATACTTATAAAATACATGTCTTTTTCTCTGATTTAAGGGCATCTTTTACACATTGTTTACTTGGGGCATTTCTCGTATCTAACTCTGATTGCTTTTATTAAAACAATAGCTCTGATGACAAAAAATGGAGGCTTCAAGATATTGTGTAAATGTTTTAAATCTTTTACAATAAAACCAGACAAAGAAGATCATCACCAAAACCTGTGTCATATATCTCAAATATCAACGATAAGGTTTTATTATTTAATAATGTATATAAAGTTGGTTTTTAAACGCTATTGTTGTAAGCTGATACCTACACCAAGTTTTATCCAGGTGTGAAGAGAGCATTGTTTAATTACTTAAGGTGATTAAACAGATAATTACGTGTATTGTTTGCTTTAGCTGTTTCGTTAATATAAAATTTGTACAAAGATTTAAAAAAATATAATGGCACTTTATAATTGAAGAGTTACAAATTTTGATAAATTTAAGGCTATTTCCTGCCTTTGTGTTAAATACCTCTACGTTAAAGAGTTCCACCTTTGAAATATTTTTAGTGATATTGTTTTATTAACATTATTTAGCTGGACCAGAAGTTTTGAATACTTTGGTTTTTGTAAGAAAAAGGAGTAAAATGTGTTAGGTCACATATAGCCTTAATAGTATTTTAAGTATGACTTAGAAAGGGAGGTAAATGTGTAAGGCCACCTGTAGCCTTAACAACATTTTAATCCTCTGAAATTATATGTTTACACAGTACTTTATTATGATTCATAGAGACATTTTTTTTAAATTTTGAGATGAAAGGTTCTTTCTGTCACAGCTTGTTCATTGATGAAAATATTCTGTTACATTTCTTTTAGAGTATGAGATCAATGATTCATACATATCAGATAAGTGTCCATTACATCATGAGAGATTGTTTACAAAGACAAAACTTTTTTTTTAAAAGACAGTTCTTTGTCTTTTTTATCAATTTTGCAATATCAAAGGCAAGATTTTCAGACAATTCTCTGTAAATCTGATTCTTTATGTGCAGATTTATTTCTTATTATGTTTTTGATGATAAAAACTTAATATTAGAGACAATCTATAAAAATATCTGATTTCCTGTATGTATCACAGGTGCTGGTTTCTACTATCAAACACTAGTATTTCACAAACACTGGGTTTTTTTTTAATGTTTACTACCTGTATATCACAGACAAAATTTTTTATGAAGTACCTGTTTTTCATGGACGTTTGTTTTGGAATTGTAGGAGAATGAACACTGCAGACTGGAGAAAGCCGACATCCTGGAAATGACTGTGCAGTATCTACAAAATGATACCACTTCAGGTAACTATTCATTATTCATTAATGTGGCAGTTTGGCACATTTCAAAATTTGTTTCATTCATTTGTGGTGTTTCTTTTAACAAGTACAGGTTTTATTTTTGGGTTCAAACATGGAATGGCTTCCCTTCCACAAGGTTGATACAATGTCATGATATTTTTATCTGTTTATGATATTCTGCTGTTATCTGTATCTAGTGGAAAAGTATTACCATCTCGTCTCGCTTTACTGAAGATGCTGAACATTATTAATTATAACTTTCCTATGTTGCAGGAACTTCCAAGACATTGGACTACACAACAGGGTTTACTCGCTGTCAAGAGGAGGTTTTCCGACTTCTCAACCAGGATGTAACTGTTAGTAGTGATGTTAAGATGAGGTTGTTCTGTCACCTGTCCAGGTTCCAGAATGTTTCATCCCATCAGGCGCCAGCCTACAGTGTAGACCAGTCCCCAGCCAACCTTGTCAGTGAATATACCTGTCCAGTCATGTCCAGCTACAGCACACCTGGTCATTCCATGTACACAACTGACCTTCACAGATCTGTCTCTGGTCATCAGTGGTCACCTGGTCAGACCTCAGCTGTTTCCAGTCCAACCCTTGACCAGTCTTCCATCGACCCTGCCTCCTCCCTACCAATGTGCACTCCAAATGGATTCAACATGTCCAGCATGGAATGGTTCAGAGGATATTCCGAATGGAATCACTCTAGTCCAGATGCCAATTCTGTCAGTCCAGACCTGAGTACAGCAGGAGTGTCCGAGATTTCTAGAATCACTTCCCAGGACAGTGTATCTATGACCAGTGACAGTTCCAGCTCATCCATGTGGAGACCGTGGTGATTATCATCATAGCTACCAAATATTTCTTTAATATTATGAGATTATCCACAGACCTTGGTAAATTATTACTACTGGAGTAGCTGACACTGGAATATAGAACATTTAGGTGAGATTGCAATGTATTGTGCTTTGATTAGGTGCCCAACATACAGATTATCTCCCTTGGACTGTGGCTTGAATGAGATAAATAATGTGCTTCTATGTCTTCTTTCCAATTCAAATCCCAAAAGAAATCAATTTGTGTGGAAATTATTTTATACAAATATCATATATATCCCTCAGTAAGTCTGTGTTGTATATTATCTCTCATAAAATCCCTCAGTGAATTCATGATGTACATTACCTCTCGTAAAATGTTGTGTGATAGGTTTACGTTCCAGGACAACAGTATTAGTAGTTGTTTGAAATTTTTCTAATGTTAAAATACACAAGTTGGGAATATTATTAGAATGATGACTTACTGCTGAATATATATGATAACTTATTTGTTGGGTTCTGCGTTGTGAGGCAGGGATCTCCTAAACACTTCTCGGTGCAAGTCAGCTTTACTCAAATTTAATTCAATCTTAGTGATCACATCAAATGTTCTAGAAAATTAGATAAAACCTTCAGTTATGAATTTTAATATGCAACAGAAGTTCATTATACAATACTGATTTGAAATGAAAAGAAGACTACAAGATTTTTAATTTAATCTGGTTCATTTAAATTCCCGCAAGAATTAAAACTGAAACATTTTCCATGAATTTATTTAAATTATAAGATAATTTATTAATATTTGTTATGTGTTTTATAGTATATAAATAAATGTGATGTTTAATGTTCCTGTACATTGCCAAATGTACATGTAGTGTGCTTTGTATAACTGTATGTATGGTGAGAGTGTTAACTAAAAGAGTATGCTTTTTCAAAGTGGAAAAAAAAAAATCACACATTATTTTTAAAGCTTACTCCTTGTAAATGTTTTCATCCGAAATGTTTTTTTCAAAATTTCCAATCACTTTTTAAGAAAAAAATCCTTTCATGCATATAAAATAATGGTTTTATAAATTGTTTTTAAATAAACTCATCAATACAAGAGGTTCTGCTGAAACTTCAGACCCAGTATGATAGATTAAAAATGCATAGAAGAAATAAAACAACATGTATAGAAATATTGGAAATATTCCGTCAATTTCAATGCCAACAGATACAATTGATTTTATGCTAATTAGGTATCAGATTGTGAATATTTCACACTCCATGTACTACAGATATCTGGGCCATTTTTTGTTGATACATAACACAATACATGTATTGTACATTTCCTGTGCTGTAGAGTTTATTTTTTATTAAAAATTAATAAAAATAATTCAAATTGAATTGATGTTTTGATCTCATTCTGATAAACAATACTTTGTTTATATATATAAATATATATGAATTGTAATATACAGGTATATGTATTAAGATTATGGAACAGAGATGTTAATCTTGTTCTTTATCATCTTGGCATCTTGCCATATTTAACAAATTCATGAAAAAAACAACAACAAAGAGGAAGAGAAATAAAAATGAAATGTATATTTACATAAATAATTGCAATAATATTTACAAAAGACATTTGGTCGGAAAATATGATAAATTTGTTAGTCTTTTTCAAGTTTTAAAATGACATTTGCTATTTCACTATAGCATGTTATACAACTGAAGACAGCTTTTGAAAATTTTGTTCATATATTTGTTTCATATATATCACAGATAGTTTGTTTTTTAATTTAATACTTCCAATGAAGTGATTTTGACATTTCCAATGTTTCACCACATTGCAGACATTGAGCTCAGTCCTCATACATGTAACATCCTAGATCCACATATTTGGGTTCAGATTCAATCATCATCATCTGAATTGTCTTCGTTCTGAAACAACAAAAATAGGACATCATTAGTTTAAAGAATTTCTTCTTCAATGTTCATCAATATAACACATACATATATTACATATGGTGTGGAGAAACAAGCCTAGAACTGATATTAGTTCCTTTTCCAAGCATAACATTGCATTGACTTTTTCATGATAAAAACTAAATTATATACACTGTAAGTACTTAATGGTCGAAGATTAGTTAATAATATAATATCTTCAAAGGTCAACACACTTTTGTAACTTAAACATTGATAAAAGTATATATTTTTTATTTCAAATTTATAATAAATTATCTTAAAAGGTCTACACACTTTCATAACTTAAATATTGGTAAAAGTATGTTACTTTCTTGATCAATACTAGAATTCCTAATTTTGTTGTTCCATATATGGTCAAATAAACAAGATTATTTTTATTTTTTTCTGAAATGAAGTGAAAGAAAATTGAGAATAAATTGTTTTCTTAAAAAAAAAATGGCCACAAGAGGGAATTCAAGCAATATAACAATTTCCCAAATAGGTAATGCTTGATTTTTTGTCTTAAAATGCTGGTCATAGAGAGTCTTCTGAATTTGCTAAAAATATAATTAGATAACAATTGAGCAAGTACTGAGAATTAAACATCAGCCAGTTGTAGATTATAATTATACCACTGTAGATGATTATGAAAAAAATTATCTTTGACTTTTGATAGATCATTTCTGATAACTAAATCAAAATTTCAAACTGGTTTTAAGATGAAGTATGTTAAAAGAAAAAAAATTAACGAAGCAAAATAATTTTTATATATGGGGAAACACTGCATGGAATGAAATTATAATCCAGGATTTTTCCAGAGCACAAATAGAATATCACACCACAAATTCAATTTAGCAAAGTCCTGAAACAAAAAAAGCAATGATGAAATGGGGCACTGTAGAATTACTTAGAACAATATGTTGGCCTGATAATTGAAATTGAGATATTGAGTGAAGGAGTGCTTGACAGTCAACAGCACTAAACAATAAGTACAATTATATAAAAATATAAAAGGTTTCATTGGTTTTGGGAAGGGGATCATAAAAAACAAAGATCCTAGTACGAGGAGACACTACCATTGAAAGGGAGAGAATTTAAAAAAGAAAAAAAAATTTGATTCAGTGCTCCATCTTACCAGTCTGTTGAGACAATAGGTAATGTACTAATTGGTTTTGTCTGAAACAAATTGTACAAGTTTACTAAGACATTGTCCGGTTAACAAAAATGGGACAGTTTTCGTGTCCTTTGAGTATTTTGTAAACCTTCATAACCACTGGATCTCAATGAAACTAGAAACCTTAAATCTGAAAAGAATACGATAAGGTTGTTGCATGTGCACAATCAATCTATGAAAACTGGGCATTTTACAGACTGTCCATCTTTAAAGGATTATCTCCCTTTAATCATATTTCATCCAAACTATAAACTAGTATTTCAATTTCTAGTCTTCGGAGTGTTTTTTACCCTTGCCTTTTTTTCTTTATTGTAACAATTTGCTAGAAATTTACTTTTGAGGTAAAAGAAAGAAAAAGTTTAAATACCTATTATATTGACTAGTAACAAAAAATTTTTCAATGCAATTGAAAGTAGCATAAAAAAGACATCTCATTAAATTAATATGCGGACATGTACGATGAACAGAAGTCACAGTAACTGAAACAAAAAAATAAAAATATTTAAATTGTGTATAATTATTCAATTGTATTATTATCCATTATTTTATTCTAGTTTTACACATGTACATAAATATCACATTAAGTAGCCATCAGCATATTAAGTATAAAGACTGTTATGAGTTAGTGATAATGTTCCATGTTACAATTGTTTGAGGTGTAGCGGGGAATAACACACCACACAGGACCAAACAGGTACACACACAATGTATTAGACAACAACCATCACCAGCTCAGGGCAAACAAGTTCTTTTTTCGTTAAAATACTCGTCCATAGATTCTACAAGTTTTTAAATCATGAGGCATTGATTATCAAGCATGCAATTATCAAATGTATGTTTTAAGATACATCTAAAGCAGGATAGTTGACTGTTTTAGTCAAAACAATTGGATTTGTTGGAAGGGGAAGAATTATTTTACAGATAGGCCATTTAATTTATGAAGTTTCCATAAATTTCTTGAGAAAAATCATGATCATTATAATAAATGTAATAAATGTTGTATTATGTATTTTAATGTGATTGATTAACGACTTAGTTTATACATCAAAAAAGTTTACGTGGGCAGAGGAGGAGTGGGTGTAACTATTTATTGGTAGCATGTTCAACAACGCATTCAATGGAAGAGAAGAAAATCGAACAATTTGATTGGTTAATAAAGAAGAGGACACAATTAGCACTAAGTCTACAGCTTCAATAGCTTGGTCCTATGGTTATGGTTAAAGTTTTTTTCATCGCCATAGCAACATACTCAGTTCTCATCAATCCTCATTTTGCTGTTCCTCTCCATTTGCCTGTCAATCAAAGGTCACATGGCATGTGGTGAAAGGTGAAAGGGTAAACGTATTTTATCCTGTGCATTCATTACAACGGTCGATAAAGATTTGGGATTAAAGAGACAAATTCTTAAACAACCTTTGGCAGATATCTGACAGAAAAAATATCACAAAAAAAAACCACCAAGATTGACTTATATGTAAATTACAAAAAATGTACTGTTATCGTTTTCATAACAAAAAAAAAATCAAATATATCCGAGATATATATATATATGTATGTTTTGGACATTGTAGCACAATTAATGAAGGAAGACTTTTTTTGGCTCATGCCTTATTAAGGCATCGAACTCATGATTTACGGCACCAAACTTCAAACAACATGTTGAAATAAGCAGTAGTGCTTTCATTGATGAATCTTCATGATGCTTAATAAATACATACCGGTATATATTTATGTTTGATAATGATATTCTGCATGTCTCATATATTGATAGAGAAAATGATAATAGACTGCCATCCATGTAATTGGATTCATGACTTTAAACTGCAGAAATGAAATTAGGCACTACTAATTTAACTACTAGAATTTGTCTCTTTAATAATATTAAATTACCATCTCACACAGATTAAGGGCTTTGACCACACTGTCATATACAATACAGTAACATTTGAACATTAAACATTTGTATTAATTTAACAATGCTGTGACCAAACACAGGACAATATAGTGTGTACTTTGTGAGTTCCACCCTCCACAGTATTGTTCCAATTCCAAGGTTACCAAAAAATACCATTTTAATCCATTGATTAATTCCTAATTAATGTATTAACTTTCAGACATTGGTACATGTTTGTTACACTTTGAAATTAATCTCAATATTTTCCATATAAGGCATTCCACATAATATTAATCCCAGATCACATTCACCAATTCAAGGATTTTCGATCCTTAATACTCCACACTAAACATTGAGAAACTTCTTGAAACTTTGAAGACAATGTTTGGAGTGATTTGATTTTTTTCTTGTATTGTCTACAAGAATATAAGACAGCCAGAGGACATTTTTCAATAAGATCTAGTTTCGTCCTGTAATTTTATCTTACTCAACATTACCTAACTACTTACAATATTTTTTTAAAATGACATTATAAAAAAAGACAATGTGACATTTGTAAGTCATGTTGTTTCAATGTCGAAAAAACATTTTTTCTTTCTATGGATTTCAAAGTAAATTTTACAAAAAAGAAAATCTGAATAAAAACTGATGATTGTTTAACAAGATGTCAGAATAAAAGTGGCACTACAAAAAAAAAAAAAAAAAAAAATAATAAAAGACATGGGGGTGGTGGGATGTTTATCTTTTCAAGTAAAAACCAAAATCCAGCACATGATGATGGCTGAAAATTAATTTTTTCTGAGTGTATAAATTCTGTGTAATTATGGTGAGTGTCTTTATGTGCCTGGTATATCATATCATCACAAATCCCTACCTCTCGTTCTGCATCTTCCTTAAGGCGTTGTTCGTAAATCTCCTCTGCTTCGTTTCTCTCCTCCTCAGAATATTCATCTTTGTCCAGTCGTTCCAGTTTCCTGAGAGCAATCAGAACCTCCAGTCTGTATTCATCCTCCTCATGAGCTGGGTTTTCTGTTGTCAAAAAATTACATAGATAATAGTTTTATTTACATTTAACTAAAAAGAGTAAGGAGTGGACCTTTTTAAAGCAAAATAACTGAAAATCAGTTATTTTCATTCTGTTCTTGTGATAGTCCAATTTCAAATCAGTATAGAACTGCAGCATTTCTCAAAGTCAATCTTTCTCATTATCTGGACTGAAAGGTGAACATGAAATTCTGTCTGATATTGATTTCCATCAAGCCCCAGTTGCTCAAATCTCGGTAAGAATTGACCAGTGGTGACATGAAAAAATTTCAACTATACTTCATAAATTAAATAAAATTAGGATCATTTCACAGTTGTAGATATGACAGGTCAGATTGATAAATGTTAATTTTTATTCGAAAGTCTTTTTTATTGTGACAACAATTAAAAACTTTTTCTAACCCTTGTAAATTTTAACAAGTTTTTAGCAACTGAGGCCTGATATATTCTCCTTAATGAGTAAGTCAATCTCAATCCCCCTTTTCTGGAATGGGTTGAAAAGTTCTAAGCGACAACAAAAATTTCTAGATTGCACAGGGTCAAGAACATTTGCATGATTAATCTTAAGAAGTTAGAAAGTGTTTATTTGTAAATGACAACTGACCAACAGATTACGGACTACGCCCAAAGACTACTACTTTTATTTTTGGAATCAATCTTTGTCATTGATACCAAATTGACAGCTTACCAAACAACACCAAAGCCCTCAGCATTGGCAGACAAGCCATCTTTGGAACCTGTTCCTTCACTGATGTTATATTGTTTCCCCTGAAGAAAATAAGAAGTGAAAATGAAACATTATTGCAAAATCCTATTTTCTTTAGGTTTAAACTTCAAGGTTTTCTGATAAAATATGTTTTTAATGGCTTATTATTTCCTGGTTAAATCTTACTCACAGAATCCATTTTAACTACGATTCATGTCAACTTGTATCTGTTTATCAATTTAAAGACATGAATTCTTTGATTAAGATGTCACACAAAATAAAATGAAAATAAAACTCCCATGAAAATTAATGACCTAACAGTAACTAATTTTTTAAAACCTAAATGGCTTAACAAATTAACAGTGAATTCACTCAAAATTAAGCCTATTTTTCAGATTTAAATAAGCTAAAATATTACAACATATAAATTTACAATGGGTTATATCAAGGTTTTGAGTAAAAGTGGGGGGGAAGGTAGATTGGTTCATAAGCATAGTTATATATAGGTCCTCAACTGACACAATCAAAAACTCAAAAACAAGCAAAGCAGACCATTTAGTTTCAAATTCATATGATGATTGTGCCAGATATGGACATGTACAAAAAATGACATTATATGAAGTTATTTTATTGCTGAAGGAAAATTTGACAAAGGAAACTGAATGCAGGAATTTTATTTCTTACAAAATTATAGATTTCTATTTTTCTAAATTGTACTAAATATGATATTATACCTAAGGTTGATGTACTGGAGGAGATGGAGCTGGTCTGTGAAGCCGTCTAAGTTTTCCAGTTGGTTGTCCCTAAGGTGGAATGTAGTGAGGCTTCGGAGTGACTCCATGTCCTCGATCTTATCTATCGTGTTGGCAGCCTAAAAAAGGATGAACAGTATATATCATACAACATCATATATCTTCATCTTATATCACGATTCTGGGTTCCAACTTCATTCAGTTGATGATGTCGTAAATCATCCCTGGCTCCTTGTTTCATTTCATCAATTTTAATCTAAAGCAGGTAGTGATTGATGTAAAAAAGATTTCTAATAGACTATGAGCTCCGGGCCTGATTTATTCAATTATAGACTAAGCAGGCAGTGTTTGATGTAAAAAAAAAGTTTTCAAAAAGTTCTGAGCCGCGGGCCTCATTAATTCAAGCAGGCAGTATTTGATGAATGAAAGTTTTCAGGAGGTTCTGAGTTCATTGAATTCTATACATATTTTCAGATATAAGTTATTGGTGATACTGTCTATTGAAGAAATAACTTTACACCTCTTTTATATACACTTACCATAAATAAATTCTTTAGATTTGGAAGGTGAACACCGCCTGTCGTTTTCAGTTTGTTGCCTCGTACTTCCAGTGTGTGGAGACGTGCCAGTTTAGCTTCGTCCAGCCCTGATATTTCTGTGATTTCATTATCTACAAAAAAAAAAAAAAAACAAGAAATAAAAATAACGAACTTCAAATTAATTTGAATTAATGGATCAATCTTAAGTACATTGTACTTGAATTAAGACAGCTTTAGAAAATTCCTGTGAAACTACAATGTTATAGAACATTGCAATGAAAATAAATGTGAACATTACATATTTTTTTCTTTTATAATATGTGTTGGAAAATTAATGTGATACCCTGAACAAAAAAGGTTTTTGAAAACAGAACATATTTTTTTCACAATTAAATCTTTTTACGACCTGCAAAATTGATATTTGTATATCAGAAGGTGATATTTCTACATCCATATTTAAGGAATTTCTTTTAAAATGTTGAGGCTGATCTGATCGATAAACAAAGACTCAAATGAACAATAAATGCAGTTATACAGAAAATAAACATCAAATAATTCAATGCATAAAGAAAATCTTTTAGAATCACTTCCAGAACTATTTCATCTGGAAAACAAGCTCTTTTTGGACAGCAGACAGATAGACATCAGCAAGGATGAATGGACAGACAAAGCAAAGATTGTACCACACTGCATTAGAACATAGGTGTGGGAATAAAAATTCTCAACATAGAGTATAATTATCAATTATGCATTCTCTCATATTTAGAAAATTAATTGACACAGTATCATAGAAACTCAAGCTGAAATACTTACTGTTGAGACTCAAGTGCTCAAGCATTGGGTGACTCACTCCCTCTAAAGAGTTGATTTTGTTGAAATTAAAACTAGCAACTTGTAAAAATGGCATTTCTTCCAATTTGACACTTGTTATCATATTGTAGTCTGCTTTCAATGTCAACATATGTGTCAGTGCACTCAGACATGAAATGTCCTTCAAATTGTTTTTGCTCACATCCACGTAACGAAGGTGAATAAATGACTTCAGTATAGAAACATTTGTTAGTTCTCTGAAAAATAATAAAAATATTTGTTGAATGTAATATTCTATTTGCTGGTCATCTATTTAACACGTTTTAGTCAAGTTATCTCCCTTTAGTCTCAAAATAAAGTTGAAAATAGCTAGACCATGAAAAAATTATTGATGCTCATCATGAAGTGTGTTTGTTTTGCTTCTAATTTTTTTCTATATCTTTTCTTTGTTTTCTTCAAATTTGAAGGAAAACATAGGTGCCAGTAGTCTGATGTTATTCTGATGTTCTGTCAACTATCCTATAATTATTAGTTTGGAGTTGACTACAATACCAATATAAAAATTTGGATGAAACATCAGAATAATTCAGATTGAGATATCAGAAACTAATAAATGTCATATCTTAAGTCTCACTTTTCATGTACATCCAGACGAACATAGGCATGTGATAACCCATCCCCTGTTTTGCACAGTAGTGAAAGACTCTCTGCCACAGCTTCCTCTGACAATGGGTTCTCTGGAACTTTCTAGAAAAAAAAAAAGAGTTTTCAAATGATTAATGGATATCATTTTTTTAAAATACACTTGAAGATGTCTGCAGGAAAAAAATCACCAGGATATATCTTAAATCTATCAACATTCTTTCCACTGAGGTATTGAACAGGAAACCTCTACATTTAAAACATTTTAAACATTTATGTTAGCTGTTTTGATTTTAACTGTGGTAAACTGATTGACTAGCTACAACATACTCTTCAGGTAGAGAGACCTCATTTTTTTTAGAATAAGACTGTTAAGCAAAAGCCTTCGACCCAGCTTTTGTTCCCCTGTGAGGTATGTAGAGTAATAATGATTTCTGTCACATTTGTACCTATGTAGGGACTTGGAAGGTACTATTGATGACAATGCTTTTTTTATTTATCTCCATAAACAATTCTGTTACAGGGCTCTTAAGTTTTTGGATCAAGCTCTGAAAAATCTGATACATCTGTTCCCATGGTAACAAAATAGTATCCAAAATGAGAAAAACTCCACAACAAAGATATATCATTTTTCTGATGATGTATTTTTCACTCTTCAAATTATAAATGAATGTCACATGAATAGCAATTGCTGATGAAAATGTTTAAATTTAGCATCACTATGAAATGAAATGTTATCTTAAAGCAATTTATCAAAAAAAGTGAGCAAGGCACCCCATCCCTCATCTTTTCTTCTATCTAATACTATGGAGTGGTTAACTATTTAAATTATTTATCTCTGGAAAAAAACTCTAAACTACACATCAAATGATATGTACGTGCAACTACACACCGTAGTTGTATATATAATACACGTATTTAAGAAGCAAAATATATGACGTTATCTATAAAATTGCAGAGATTCAAACATGCTTTCATCACATTCCATCGATAGGATATGGACGTGTTTGATAATTTTGTCAAACACACTGAAATATGGGGAAAAGTCAAGCCGATATTGGAGTGGAAATTCCATGAATTATCTGTCACAAACAACTTAATATTTTATCTCAACAGAAAAATAATGAACAGGGAAGCAATCGTGATTTCTCTAAAAATACTAATTTTCCAACCTCTTCTTCTTCTTTCTGTTCTTCTTCCTCTTCAAGTTCTTTCTCTTCTTCGTCACCGAGATCTTCATCGTTTTCTGCCTCTTCTTGATCCACTGTCGCCTGTTCTTCTCCTCCGCCTTCTTCTTGTGTCTCCTCCTCCTCTATACCTAAATCGTCTTCCTGGTCAGACATATTATATAGCTGTCACCTTTCAAAATTGATCACAAAAGGAGAAAACACTTTCAAAAGCGGAGAGAACTGTAAACACACTGAAAGGTTGATTACAAAAATGGCGGACCGTTGTCAAGGAGACCGCTTGCGATATTACCAATCGATCTCGTTATTCTTACGTTTTAGGGGCATAATTTAGTCTATGTTCAAGTGCGAATAGATAGTTAACCTAAACAAAAGGGAAACATTAATATGAAATACAGTGATTTCTCTGGAAACAGCAAATTAGTATGAGAAGCGTAGTCTCGTAAAACTTCGCACAAAACGAGAATCTGTGTGGTTTCGGTATTCATCCCATATGATCGAAGAGGGTTGAAGGTAATGTTTAACCTACTTTTATTTTACTTTTTGTATTGTTTTTAAACAATTAATGGAACATGTTCCTTCTTGTAATTAAGGTAGTAACAGTGTACAACATGTTGCTTTTGTTTCTTGTTGTAGTTAATTCCTTATATTTCACATTACAGTTAAAAACTTCGAAAAGTTTTACGGACAGATTTCGTACTTTTCACCCCAAAAGTTTATTATCGCAAATTCACGCCTCAAAGGTCAGCTAACGTTAAATATATAGATGTGAATGGAATTTGATTCGGTGCCAAATTATTTCACGGTATTGATATTTCATTATATATCATGTTGATGTATTCATGTTTTGGACAAGAAACCGATGAAAACCGTAATATTTTGTAGGTAACGTGTATATTGACACAAGAACTGATAGGCCCAAGTTGGTGTTGGCCTGGTTCTCGATTTGATAAAATTTGCCGAACAACAGTGATATCTGGATAGATAAAAAATACGACGTTTCATAACTAGATTAAATTATTTAAATGTTTATAAAGTAAATGAAGTACAACGTTTGTATCAAACTAAGTGTGACTCCGGCACTAATGATAGATAATATATGGTATTAGCTCGTAATGCATTGTTATCATGCCTGTGCAAGTTGTGTTTCAGTTTCGTTAAAAATTGCTTGTATTTTTTCTCTGTTTTTTAGTTGAAGTAAATATATTCTTTAGATGCTAAATTTCATAATTTATTAAGTATTGGAAGTGAAAGTAATATCTTCCTAACTATTGATTTTTGATTGATAGGTCTAAGCTTAGCAGACGACTGATTTGCAAAATATTCCCGTTCAGAGAAGTTGACTGGTTCTTTTTATAGTAGACTGGTAATGCAGTTTTTTATAATCCCTGAAGTAACATTTATATCATAGAACTCCATAAAAAATATTGTTGAACAAAATTTTTATTTGTTTTATCTAGTTGTTGATAATGGTGGCCTGTTTTGGTTGTTGTATATTTTAGTTGCCATAGAAACAAGTCACATTATACCAGTTATACATGCCTGGTCATGTGGTCGCCCCACATATAATCTACCCAGCTAGACATGTTAGTAACAATGCCATGTTCTCTTGTCAAGTTCAAATTTGTTTTATATTCAACTGCTAGGGTTGTCATAGGAACTAGATAGCCATTGTTTTCAGTCAGGGACTTTTAAAGATTAATCTATAACCCACTGACTTGGCAAGCACCCAACGTGAAGCAAACAATTTCTTTTAATACATAATGTTCTGAATAAGCAGTTTACAAGGATTTTAGATATATGTCGCAAATGTTTGAGCTCAATAACAAAATAGTGTGTATTTATTTTTCCAAAGAATTGTTAAGCTGATATTCTAGCAGACCCAATCCTGATCAATTTATTGAGAAATTAGGACGTTTCTCCATTCAAGTGGGTTATTTTTAAAGGTTGCCCAATTGATAAACGATTCTACAACAAGCATGATTTAGTGTGTATATCTAAGTAGTTTGTCAAATGTTCACAGACTGGTTACCACTGGCAACTTCAATAATAATTGTCCTGCGATATAAATTAGCAAGCAAAAATTCTGAAGTGGTATAATTGTACAGGCCAGAAACTTGGCAGGTTGTGTAGAATGAATGGCTTTGAAGTATATACATACATTTTTTATAATCCTTGTATTCATAGACTTTTTATTTGGCAATCATGTCTTATTGATAACATCTGCTGTATGATGATCTATATTTTGATATATTGTTCAAATCTGTGGTATTTAAAAATGTTTCAAAATAAAGTATTATACTGAAATTTATATAAATAGAGAATTGTAGACAAATACTTTTGCATATATAACAAAAACTTGTGAATAAGATACCATATCATATTTGCAGATCTTATATGTAAACCTTGGACTTTTTTTGGCAAAGTTGATTGACTATCTCAAAATAAATCTGTATGATTGCATTGCTTCACCAGTATTTTGTATTAAAGCCAATTATAATTTTTTTTTAAACAAGAATTATGACAAAGAAAAAGAAAGAAATGGTACAATTTTTCTTTATTTATAAGTTATGGATATTAAAACAACATCACGATAAAACAATATTTTTTTAACTCATTATTTTTATTATTGCATACATATATCAAGATTATCGCTATATGAACAATTACAATTGGTTTCCGCTGAAATGAAATGAATTATTAGTTGTCATAAATAGGGTAATCTTTATCTGTTGATCAACAGTCTGGATATGTAAATTTTTGTGTCATATATGATAACACATTCCCACAATCACCATCACCTGTAAACAGAAATGGCTACCCATGGCTGAATAGGTCGTGACAATGTTGTAACTTAATTTGTAATTATGAATTGTCTTAGTTATCAAATAACACCTATATCAAAATCTGGTGCTAAAAAGTGTGATTTTAAGAACTGTGTCAATACTGTTGCTGTCATTTCTTGCCACCATCATGTGTTGGTGTTTGCAAACTGGACTGCCTGGTTTTTAAATCCATCATGTGATCAGTGCTAAATTTTGGAAGGGTTTCCCAAACTAGAGAAGTGGTTAAGCTGGACATTGGAAATCAATTGTGAATAAAGGGATAGCATAGAAATGTAACTGAAAGTACAAAAAATAATTTAATTTTGTTGTTTTTAACTTCATGAAATAATTTCTTTATTTAAGAAAGTATGATGTTATTTTTTGTTAAAATAGCTAAGTCTTAAGTAATTTGAATCCTATGTTCAACAGGGCATACTTATTGCAAAAATGCCTTTTCTAAAGTGACATGAGGGTAAAGAAAATTTAAATAACATGCTGTGAAATAATTTTATTTTCAACTTTATCTTTGATCAGTTTAAAATTTAAGATTGAAAAGGCATTCTTTTTTCTACATGGTTTGAATCATCGTCTATTCACTAGAATGATCATAAAACTTTCCCATAATTTTTATCAACCTGCCTATCCTTTAATCCTGAGTTTTTCTGTCAGTAGGCGAAATTTTGCACAAAAATTGTGATATTCGGAACAGGAACCCTTACCAATATCGAATCAACTGCAACATGTATGCAATATCTCTAAGTATAAGAAAATCCTGGAAAAACTTAAGTTTCTTAAATGTTTCAGAGGAATTAGCTTGTGATCTATATATGGCAATTGAATAACTTGGATTTTAACATTGTGATGGTATTCTGTGTGTCAAATATGGCAGTGTTCATTCACTTTAGAAGCTACCGGTAAGTAACAGAATACTGAAATTTGGGATTTTATATTTTGTTTTCTTTCCAAACTATAATATTTTGTTATTTCCTGATTAAAATATCAAAACTGTTCAAGATATGGACTTTGTCCATTTATTACCCTATCAATTCTAGTGGTGCTTTTTGCACTGGAGGATTCCTCCCCCCTCCCCCATTACCATGGAAACAGATTGGAAAATGCCTGAAACTGTGTCCACTAGCTATCTCATAACTCTAGTGGTGTAGTTCAAATTTTGTTTTGTTTTTATGTTTTTACCATGTAACCCATTCAGATTAGAAACAGACTGGCAAAAGTGCAAATTTTACGGTGGTATATTCATTAATATGATATCATATAATATTTCCAACAAGTCCCTCATTGTGTTGTTTTTAAAAAAAAATCGCATTTATCACGGGCAAAGTTTTCCAGTTTTATGAGTAAACCTCATATTTACACTTTTATATATCCCATAACAAAGGTTATTGATTATGTAATTTGTTTTTTTTGGGCACGAGATGATCTTTATCAAAATAACAGTATCAGTGGTGGAATAGAGTTAATCTGTGTACCAGTGTTATTATTGTGAGTCCTTTTTTTCAAACAGCAGGTTAAGGGGTCGGGGGCGGGGGAGGTGGGGGGGATAATTCACACTTTGTGTTAGTGTTATCTTGTCTTCCATCCAGCATCTTTTTTTGGCTTTTAGTTTGAGGGTTCACCCTCTGTGAGGAAGGCTTTGAGTTCTGTTCCCTGGCAGAGACATAACTAGAGACTATCCCTATCAGTATTATGGTAATGTGACAACTGGTTTGCCCTGTTGTCAATGTAATTTGACCACCTGCTGGGAACACCATAAAGTCAACTTCATTTCTGCACTATCACAAAGCTTATACCAACATATTGCAGCCTCCCACAAACACAAACACTCAACACATGCACTACATGGGACGGGTCATCTTACATGACCATGGCAGACAAAAAAGTATTGATAGGACGTTAAACAATATAAAGCCAATCCAAAATTGATATGGTACAACCATGTTTGAAATGATGAGAAGGAACAAACATTTGTAATCAGATTATCTAAAAAGTTAGAAATCCGGGATATTCATGTCTTGATACATTTCTGGCATTCATTTAAAGCTATATTCCCAAATTCTCTTTTAGTTGCTAACATCACATAAGTACATTGTATACTAATTATACAGTTTACATCGGTATCAGAAATAGTTGAAAGATTAGAAAAAATTGATTGCCCCAAAAAATCACTTTTATTGTCAACACAACACAAATACAGATATACTTTATCACAATGTTTGCGGAAGAGTTATTCCCCTTCATTGAATCAAAATCATGTCAATATATCTTAAGATTTCGGGGGTATATGGTCTGATATAGCAGTGGAATGTTTGCCTGATGAACTTTAAAATATTCT